GCCACGTTAATCTTTTACCATATTACTAAACTATTGAACTCACATTGTAAATGAAAGTTATGTTTACTATAGATTATTTTCATTTTGAGCACGGTTTTGGGGTTGAATGTCAAAATAACCTTGGCCTACAGTATAAATAAAACTATGAACTATTTTCTAAATTGTATTAGTGATGGTTTAATTAGGCAAAAATAACTTACCAAGAACTTGGAGATGAATAATTCCGATTTGCAAAACGTCTATTGATATTATGTTGAAGCTATAATCCCAGCTGTCACCTGACATCAGGGATGCTAGAGCCAAGTATCAGTACGATGCGTTCACTTTCAACCCTCCTTTACTTAGGGTGGTAACCTCAACGTGTTTAGTCTTGTTGTTGAAATTGCAGATAATAAAAACCAACGTAACATTTCTCCCCAAAATTGAGACCCGGAGGCCGGATGGACACAGTCAGAAATAAATACAGAAATAAATAAATGCTCAATAAATAAATAAGCATCCAATTAAATACACAAAAAAAGAAAGTAAATAAATAAATGTAGGTAGTAATTAAATTATACAAGGAGACAGAGATGTATATATTTAATTAGTGTCTTTACTTATTTATTGTCCGTTATAATCTTCAACTTTATTTATTAATTACTTATTTTTTAAATGTATTTATTTATGTGTTTGTACAAGGTTTTATACTCTCTAGTCTGGAAACTTCAGTACGTTTATAGTGGTGCTTTTTCCCGTCATTCTTACCTCTTCTATTACACATTCTCCTAACCATATCCACCAAACATGTGTCTTCTTTTGTTCTGGTTTCCAGCCACTCATCTGTTTCCATGGTTTCTGTCAGTTAGTTCATCTGCATCACCTGTGTTTAGTTAATTACCATCATCATCATCTGTTCCACCTGTGTTCTGTTAATCAGTGTTCATCTGTGTTAGTATTTAGTTCCTTCAGTTCAGTCAGTCTTTGGCCATTCTACTTTGTAGTCTTGTTTAGTGTGTGTACGTCTTGCCTGTTTGCACCTTTTGGAGTTACTTTATAAGTAAAACATTTGGAACTTTGGACTCCTCCTCTTCTGCTTGCACCACACTGTGACAGATATAATGTAAAACAAAGTTTTATTTTCTGAAATATGGCATACTGGCATAGTAACCTAAGTTACTATGTAATTTCTGGTTTACTTCAACACAGATATTGGGGTTGTTCTTTTGACCCAGAAGTTGGGTTATATTAACTACAATGTTTTTTTTTTTTTTAACCCAACATTTGGGTCAGGTATTTAATCCAGAAGTTGGGTCAAAAAGAATAACCCAATTTCTGGGTTGAAATATCCCAGAAATTAGTTGGTCCCTTTTTTAACCCAGGAGTGGTAAATCCTTCTTTAGACCAAATGGCCTACATTATGACATTCCTGATGTGAGTTTGTGGTCAGAGCGGCTAAGGCGCTGACAGCAGAGTTGGAACAGAAGTGCATGCAGGTTTGATTCTGAGCTGAGGGTGAATGATGAAGATGATGATACAGTGATGAAGGTGCAGTGTAACACAGGTGGTGCCATGACGGGGAGGTTATTTACTGCCACATGATCAGATACATATGTATAACAAGTACATATTCTTGATCATTTATGATTCTTTTATATATTTTTATATCTGCAGTAGTTTACTTTCATACTTTATTTATTGTTATGCAACAAAATACCAAAGCTAATTCCTTGTATGTATAAACCTACTTGGCAATTAAGCTCTTTCTGATTTCTGATCAGATGCAAATTTTCCATATAGCTATGTTTGATTGTGAAATTATATAAAACTATGAATACATGCTGTGTATAACTAGGTTGCAAATAATCCATCAAATCAAATACCAAATTATCAGCATTAAATAAATCTTTATCAATAACCTGGATTTAAATGAATTAACAGAGACATAAACCAGACATACATTTCAATACACTCATGCTGCCATCTACTGGTAAAGAGGAGAGCTCCGTAGACCAAATTAAATATCAGTGCTAACAGTAACAACACTAATTTCTTAGGTTAAACTATATGACAAACTGAATTGCACCAAATCATCTGCTCAATGAGGCTGCAGTCGGTAACAATTGAACATACAATGCAAAATCTTCTGCATCTCTAAACATTAATTAAAATATCAATAAATGTTTGTACATTTATTAACACACTCACTATTAGTACATGACTAAATCATATGTATAAATGTACATCTATAGTTCAAAAAGCATTTCCTTACACTTTCTAAATGAACTCAAAGATCTAAGACTTTCTCTATGTACACAAAATGCCTATTTCTCTCAAATATTGTTCACAAATCTGTCAAAATCTGTCAGTGAGCACTTCTCCTTTGCTGAGATAATCCAGTTAAAAAAAGTTAGTTAACTTATGTGTTAACTGATGTATGTATTTATTTTAACCCAAACCATGATCTTTTCCTAACCTTAACCAAGTGGTTTTGTTGCCTAAACCCAACAAAGTAGTTTTTGTGCCTAAATCTAACCAAACTGCAACGTTTCACAACTTTAAAGAGGTGGTATTCCGCTTTTTGGCTTTTTCCCTCTCCTTTATTGAGTTATATATCTTTTTTTTGTGCATGTAACAGGTTTGCAAAGTGAAAAAGCCCAAAGTCCAGCCCAAAGGGAGTTCACATCTCCCACAGAAAGCTCTGCTCTGAACCGCTTGAAAACAGCTCGTTTGTAGTCCAGCCCTTCACTTCCTTTACTTGTGACGTCACAATGAAAACATGTCATAAAGCTTGCCAAGCGGCTAGCGGGGTCAGACACGCCCTCAAACCAAGCTAGTCTGAGCGGAAGCCCTTTGGCTCGACTCGCCTTTGTTTGGTTTTCCATTGTAGAAATGTTGCACCTGTACCTGCTTCCAGGTACTTTTTTTCATATCGCCTCCATCGAGGTTCCAAGCGAGCTGAGGGACACTAAAATGTAACATGAAAACATGACAGACTGCTGACTGGTCAGAGAGAATATTCACTATTCACTGCATCATCATTGCTGCACCAGACAGAGACCAGCAACAGAAAGTTTTTTTATTTTACAGTTTTCGTACGGAATTTCATCACTAAATCCACTTCTGAGAAGTTTTGAGGTGAAATCAGCTGTATAGATTTTGAATATTGACAGTTTTACGAGTGATGGCGGAACAAAAATGTGCTTGAATATTGTTGGAGTTGAGGAGCTCCGCAAGTGGCTGCGGAGGAAGCCGGCTGTGACCCACGGGAGGAGCGTGTGAGGCCGGCCAGCCGCCCGCTCACAGAGCCCTCTGCTCCCGCCGTCACACAGACCGCTGCAGCAACAACGGCAGAGGAAAACACAGCTGGAAGGTTTTCATACCGCTTATCTGTCTTTACATTACAGGAACGTTGAAACTTTTAACTTAAAAAAGAGAAAGGGGTGGGTGTGTGTGTGTGTGTGTGTGTGTGTGTGTGTGTCGCATTGAACATAACGTTGCAGCAGTTGTGTTTGGCGTCGCTATGACAACAAGCTACATACTATCTCTGGGTACTGTCTGCAATGGAAAACGGAGCAGGACCGAGTAGAGTCAGTCTATCGATTTGCACTATGGTAGCATTTTTCGGCAAGGCAGCAAAGATCGTCAGAACACCGGCAACAGTTCAACGTTTAGTCCTGATGGTAAGATGTGAAACAATGATGATGTTGATTTGGATCACACTACCTTGTTTCTTATGACCCGCCCTTCTCTGCTTCTGATTGGCTAGTAGTCCTTACCTGGGAACTGAGCATGTGCAACTCCCAACAAAGATTTTGTACAAGTAAGATGCATCACTCTGTAGCTGTCACGATCCTGCCCTGAGCTTGTCTGGGTTATATTATTTTGGCCATGCCTGCTCTGTGTTTTGATTTTGGGTTCTCTGTGTCTCAGTCCTGTCTGTCTGTGGTCTTGTATCCAGTCTTCTGCTTGTTCTGTGTGGGGGTTCTGATCTGTCCTGTTATATCGGTGTCTGCCTTAGTACTTGTTTAGTTCTGTTCCTGCCCCTCATGTGTTACATCTCTACCATCATGCTTGGGTTCTGTCTGTCTGTTAGTTGTCAATTTATGTTCTCCGCCAGTTTCATTAATTTAATCTGATTTTGATTATTTTGCTTTAGTCTCTGTGTAGCCTTCATTATTTAATTAATCCGCATCTTTAAGTTACTTCGTATCTGCCTTGTCTCGTATCCTAGTTCCAAGTTTGGTGTCTTAGTTCTTAGTCCTGTACCTTAGTTCATGTCTTAAGTGTTTACTCCTGGTCTGTGTACTTCTGTGTTGTTTTGCCCAAATCTGCTCTGAGTTTTGTTTTATCTTTGCTTCAGTCTGTGTTCCTTGTTATTAGTGTATTCGTATTCTGTCTGCTTGTGTCCGGATTAATTTGTTATTTTTATTATTCTGATCTGTTACTTCTTACTTTGATTTGTTTAGAGTTCAGTACTTGTGTTAGGTCTGCTCACCTCCAGTAATCTGCCTGCCATCCAGTATCTCTGTTTCTCTGCCTCGTTAACCCTGATCCCAGTCACCTGTGTTGTTCCCACCCTGCTCGTTAGTCTGTGTGTGTGTCTACCTGGTGTTTCTGTTTAGTCCTTGTCCGGTCATTGTCGCATGTCGCTTGTATGCTCAGTCGGTTGTCGTATGTTCTGCAAGTTGCTACTTTACCCGTTCTGTTTTTGGATGTACCAGTTCCTTGTACCCGTGAGTTTTTGTTCATGCCTGTCTGTCTAGCCCTGGATTAAATACTCTGGACCTCAGCTCTCTGTGTCATGCATTGCATGCTCTGCGCACCCAGCGAACGTGACATTAGCTCAAGAGCGGAGCGTACAACACACAGGATGAAAAGAGGAGCTGCAGCAATGTGCAGTATGAGGAAAAAATATGTTTTTTTTTGAAAATTATACCATGTAAACCTGTTCTGGTACAACCCCTAATTAAGATTTTGAACCTGAAAATGAGCATAATACCACCTCTTTAATGACGTGCCCGTTTCAAAATGGCAATGTTTCGAAACACCTGCCTTTTATTTTGAAAGTCTAACCGGTCTTTGCATATTTATTGATGCTAACTTTACCGGAAGTTGTATATTTGTTGTTGCTAAGCATTGCTAAGTTGACAATAAATGGCGCAAAAGGGGTACCCAGGGCGTTAAAAAGCGACGTCAAAGGGTCTTGACCAAGCGTCAATATGTGATGAGTCGGGAGTGACAATGTGTTTGTCAATCAGGCTAGCGGCTACTCGTATCTGCACCTCTGTGTACATTTAACCAGCACCGTTGAAAAAGCTTATTAGGAGTCGGCCTGTGCTGCCCCCAAGACCGGGGGCGTCGGTGTTCAACAGGTAGCTTAGCATAAAAACCTATCAACCGCTTTAAAGCTCACTTTGTGTTTGTGTGAGGATTCAACTATTTGTGGTTTTCTGGGAGTTATGTAAGGTTAAGTGAGTGAGGAGTAGATCTGGTCCTTGTCCCTGCTGGCAGGATCGAGGCTCTGGTAAGTGGAGTCTTCACCCGTGGAGACTGGAGTCCTGTTCTTGCGGGCGCCAGATAACTGAAAATAACACATATTTAACATAGTTAAAAGATCCCTGCTCTAATGGGGGCACTGTTTCCTGTTCTGATTCTGTAATTTTATTTTCTTGACCATTTTTCCTGCAGTATATTAGGAGATATCATTGACATTGAGGTTAAAAGTCAGAGACGGACTGAATAAAAGAGTTACCTCCACATTTCTGCTTTTTGAAGATCTGAGGTTTCTGTTTTTCATCCATTTGAAGAGCAGCAGCAGATAACCAGCCAACAGCAGGACAATCAGAACCACACAAACAACCAGAGGCACAAAGTAAACTGGGGAGAGACAGAGAGGAAAGGTGAGTAAGACGGCTGAGAGACAGAGAGGAAAGGTGGGTAAGAAGGCTGAGAGACAGAGAGGAAAGGTGGGTAAGATGGCTGAGAGACAGAGAGGAACGGTGGGTAAGAAGGCTGAGAGACAGAGAGGAAAGGTGGGTAAGAAGGCTGAGAGACAGAGAGGAAAGGTGGGTAAGACGGCTGAGAGACAGAGAGGAAAGGTGGGTAAGAAGGCTGAGAGACAGAGAGGAAAGGTGGGTAAGAAGGCTGAGAGACAGAGAGGAAAGGTGGGTAAGACGGCTGAGAGACAGAGAGGAAAGGTGGGTAAGAAGGCTGAGAGACAGAGAGAGACAGAGAGGAAAGGTGGGTAAGACGGCTGAGAGACAGAGAGGAAAGGTGGGTAAGACGGCTGAGAGACAGAGAGGAAAGGTGGGTAAGACGGCTGAGAGACAGAGAGGAAAGGTGGGTAAGAAGGCTGAGAGACAGAGAGGAAAGGTGGGTAAGAAGGCTGAGAGACAGAGAGGTGTGTTCAGGGTCTAAACAGAAGATAACTTATTGTACCGTAAGTGTCTCGGTGGGTTATGCAGAAAAACAGGGACTGGACCCAAACGCAGACAGAACAGGCAGATAAGGTTAACTTCAAATATTTGTTGTTTGTACATGCATATAACGGCAAAGCAACTGGGACCGAGATTGGTTTGTGTGCTATATTGTGGCAATACAGAAAGTCAGTGATAATGTGAATTCCTGGATCGTGAATGTTCTCTAGGGGTCCCACTAATATTTTTTGTTAAAGTGTACTGAAGTAAAATATCACACAATATGGTTGAGCTATATTTGAGTCAAAAATGTTATAAATGTAGTTACAAGAATAAACTTTCCACTCGTATCTTAAGATATTTGATTTGAAAGAGAACCTATTAAATTGTAATTATCTAATTATCTATAAACTCCCCTGCTCATTCATTTGGTTCCACCTGCAGGATCTGTCTAATTCTTTAGTATTTGGGTATTAAACGTTCAGTATGTAAATTCTAGTGACATCTACTGGTGAGGGTTGCGAATTGCACCCCCCTCCACTATCCAAGCGAGCAGTATAGCTACGGTGCCTGAGACAGGACAAAGATGTCATCTATGAGATAAAAGACATTGCCAGTCAAGAAATGAGGTTTCTTTAGATAGATGTGTTAAGAAATGATATAAATTATGTAAAACCAAATGTTTTTTTGAATGTTATTGTTACTTTTTCATTAATAAACAACAGCCACATGAAGAAATGAAGAGCTACATGATGTCTCATAGTCCTGTAATACATTATTTTACATCTTGGGAGGGTTGGCTCATCTGGACTAACATAAATAAATGAAGAGGATCTCAAACACTATCACATCTAGTGCATGAAGTATGACCACTGACAGATACCAGGACAATGTAAGCCTCTCTGTTTCTGCACCACAGTCCAATATAAACCACATAATACATGAGGTTTACAAAGGCATTGGCTGGTGAGGATCAAGGCTCCTCTCGCTTTGCTAAATTAGATAAGCAATCTGCAAATCTTACCAAGATGTCTCTTGAATTTTTTGAAATACAACAGAAACACAAAGTAGTACTGACAGCCATAATTTCAGCTTGTGGTAAAACGCTGCGACATTTTAATGGGCATTTAGCATGTGAAAGTACAAATTACATATTTGTGTGCACAGTGGGAAGCACTATCCAATAATGTTTTTTTAATGCAAATTCAGAAAGTATTCATTATTGGTCACTTGATAGGCACACTGTCTTGTTATATATATATATCACCGTATGTCAGGAAGGTAACTGCACATTTCTGTCCACGTAAGCCATAGAGCGCTGGAGAAGAGAACTACATGAAATTACAATCCAACTACGTGTTTTTTCAAAGTTTAGCTGCTGATCTGAGCTTCGATGCTGGACGCTGCCGTTTTATTGCCAATTAGCAACCAGCTGATTCTCACAAATGTAACATACAAAGCCAAAACAGAGCGCTGGGGGGGCAGAGAGAGAGAGAGAGAGAGAGAGTGAGTAACTACATGAAATTAATCCAACTGACATAACACCACAAGCCAAAGCACAGCGCTGGAGAATAAACCAATCCAACTAACAATACATTTTTTTCTACCAGTCAGTAAAACTTTAGCTGGCTGATGCTTCTATGCTTTAAGCTAACGTTACGGTTTTATTGCCAATTCACGTTACTGATCAGCTGATTGTCTCGCTAAGTAACCGGCAAAGCTAAATCACAGGCTGGAGAATAAGTAGGCGCCAAATTAAATTAAATGAATTCGTACTGCCCCGAATTCCTTTGTGTTGACAAATAAATACTGTCTCCTTATAACTTGGTTATTGCTTTGTTTAATTAAATAATCTTTAAGTTACATAACAGGTCTCTCCACTCCATTTGAATAGTTATGTTACCATGTTGTTGTTGAAAAGAAGAATCCATAAAGAAGTTAATTTTGCAGTGCTTTAATTTTCAGCAAGGATCCCTGACATTTCTAACCAATGCTCAATGCAACACTTTCTGACACTTCCTTTAGAAATGATAAGATAAAGAAAAACATCCTATACTACTTGATTAATTTTCCAGCTCGTATTTAATGTTAAATAACAAATTTTTCCAGCTCCTGAGCAAATGATTGTTTTAAAGAAATAATCAGTTATCTTCAGTCTCCTCATGGAACCAGAGTTCCCCCAAGAGGACAAAATAAGTATTACATTACATCGTTCTGAAATGCTGTTTAATCTTAACGTTTATTGTTCATAATATGATGCCATGTTCGTATAACTTGCTCTCATATATTTAAGAAAGAATGTTTAACAGTCAGTATTATCCAGGAAATATTGAGTTAAGTCTCTTTCATTCTGAAATCCTGAAAATGTGTTTAACTGGTAACGATTCCAATCATTACAACGATTAAGTAATTGTTTCCTTTTTATCAAATGCTTGGAGCTAAGAACGGTATAACTGTTATGACAATTAAGGTTTGATTGTGGGAGGACATTTGATTAAAATACGCAAAAATAGAGGTCCAAATAGACATAAGTTATCAGACTGAAAGCCCCCCCTCACAAAGGAAACAAGCCCTCAGGGGAACAAGGCCCCAACAAACAAAAGCAGTGATACGCGTTCGCTCACTCTCTTTGCTCTTCTCCTCACTTCCCGTGCACTTCGGCACGTGCTCAGCGTGCTCCGTCTCCCGGCAACGCCCTAAAAACGCCCAGCTTGCTGTGAAAACTCCTTTGTTCTTTTCAAGCCACACACGCGAAGCGCCGCGACCTCTGCTTTTCCCTCGTTTCCAGCAACTTACTTGCTTTTTATTTTCTTTTGTTTTGTTTGTTAGAAGTTATCAGACTGTTAAGTTACACAATTTTAATTCAAGAACGACCAAGTTCTTTTTAAGCTTTATTCCGTCGAGCTAACTTACACTGATCCCCAACGCCCAGGTCAACCACGTGGACACGCCAGCAGTAACAAAGGATGACCAAACCTCTGACCCGAGCCAGGATTTGAAAAGGCCCCACTGCGAGTTTCTTCAATAAGCCGACAAAAGACGGGCCTCCGGAGCAATTCCCTGGCAGAGAAAGTGGCCAGCAGACGGCTTTAAGCAGTCCTAACCGAGAACGCACGGAACTCCACCAACATGAGGCCGCCGACCAGCAACCCGGCTGGGAGAAACGACAAGCAGTAAGACCAAACCAAGGCATTCTGTAATCAGTGATGAAGCCATTGTTTATTTCTTTGATGTATATTTAAGCGCATTTATATCCACCTTTAGCTAGTTAATAAATTTCACCATAATCACAGGAATGGTGTGTGTATTGTTTAACTCCAAGTCCCTGTCACGAGAATTTACCCCTTTAATATGAGATTGACTGATTGATTTAAGATAATTTAACGATTAATAACTAACTGATCACTAGTGAAAAATTGTGTAATTATTAAATTTTAACATTACTCAGGGGTCCGGAGACCCTGAGTGAACTGAATCTCCGGTGGTGCCCTTTCTCGAGGTATGAATTAATATTCCCTGAATATTAATAATTCGTAATTTGTATTACAAAAGTAGGTATGCTACAATGTTGACTGTATGTTTGTCTACGTGTTGCACCTTATCACCACAGCAAATTCCCGTATGTATAAAACACTACTTGGCAATAAAGCTCCTTATGATTCTGAATCAATGAAACACGAGAGGTGTTTTATTTTTATTGGCCAACTTTTGAATTGAACCTCAAATTGAGTATTTTGTGTTTGCTTACTGGGATACAGAAAGATGGACTCCTGGGAGATTTGAACTGAGATAAAGACTCATTAATTGCTGGTTGAACTGAGGGTTTTGTATTGAGCACTTACTGTATAACACACTGTGGTGAACTGTGTTTTTTCTTGTGGTCTGTAGGTAGGCCTACCTGATGATATTATATCATAGTATTTAATGGCATGACTTAACTCAAATTATCTTTCTCATATTGTTATAATTTAATATATCTTCTCCTCCATAGCTTATAATAATTTATGCATCACCTAATTTCATCATAACACTGGCCTGACTCACAAGATAGAACAGTGGATGTTTAATCTATCTAATATTGTGTTGGTCACTAGACACTGGACACTGATTTACTGCTTGTCCGTTTTGAATAATACAGGAGGTAAAGAGCTTAAAAATGAATCGCATATTAAATCGCAATATTGGTTAAAAAAAAATCACAATTAGATGATTTTCCAAATCATTCAGCCCTACAGTGTACCCATGTTACTTAGTACATTAACACAAGTTCTGTAACTAGGATAAAATTTGAGGTAGGTTTACTTTACTTGAGTGTTTTCTTTTCATACTACATGACACTACATCTATCTGACAGCTTAACTTACTAGTTACTTAACAGATCAGGATTTCTGCACCAAATTTATGAATAGTTAATAAAATGTGATGTTTTGTTACAGATTAAACTATCCAACAAGTACAGCTTAGTTAGCAACTATTTTGATGGTTGAAGTAATTCTTCTTTTTTCCTGTAAATCATCTGATGGTTCAGCTTCTCACGTGCTGCTTTTCCTTTGAATGATTGTGATAATTGTGATACTTAGACAGAACAGCATTGTGAAGCTGTCACTTTGGGCTCTGGGTAACTGTGATGGCGTTTCACTATTGTCCGAGTCTTTACAAACCAAACAATTTATCAATAATCGTCAGATTAATCCAGAATGAAAATGATGATTAGTTGCTGTCCAACACAAAATAGTTGAAAATGAGCTCGAGCTCAACAACTACAGCAGCAACATCCTGCTTTAATGCACGATGAATAATAATGTGATGAAAGAATATTTAATAACACAACAAGCAGACGGACGTTTTCCTCATTATACTCACACACTTTTAATGAAGTAACATTTTCACTGCAGGACTCTTACTTGTTCTAACTCATCGGGGTAGTAGTACTTTTACCCAATTATTAAGTATCTGAATACTTCCTCCACCACGGACTGTACCTGTACACTGCTTGGTGGTTTCAGGGGAAGCTGAGGTAGGCGTGGAGCTGGTGGCTGGATCTGTGAACAATGAAAACACAAAAAAGCCAATCAGACATCGAATCAATACTGACATCAATAAATCCTAACAAGAGACATGACAATCTGCTCTGGATGGATTCAGATACGGTTGAGAATTGAGATTTTTGTTTCTGTTGTGGACAGCATAAAGTTTTCACCAAAGCAAAAGAGCTCAACAATAGAGAGCCTGATGGCCCTTTCAGATAGGAAGCAATTTGCGCTGTGCTGGCTGCAGCGTTCAGCGCAAAACCGCTTGTTTCAGCGCAAAGGTTTTCTCTAAGGGATGGTTCAGGACTCACCTGAGCCAGCCCTAACTATAAGCTTTATCAAAGAGGAAAGTCTTAAGCCTACTCTTAAATGTGGAGATGGTGTCTGCCTCCTGAACCCAAACTGGAACCTGGTTCCACAGGAGAGGAGCTTGATAGCTGAACGCTCTGGCTCCTAGTCTACTTTTGGAGAATCTAGGAACCACAAGTAACCCTGCATTCTGGGAGCGCAGTGCTCTGGTGGGGTAGTAAGGTACTATGTAGTATTTCTTTTCATATTTATGCTGATGACACACAAATATACTTGCCCGTCAGATCCACAGACCCTGGAATGCTGAGTTCACTTAACAACTGCCTTTGTGAAGTTAAAAAATGGATGTCAAATAATTTCCTCCAGCTGAACTCAGACAAAATAGAAATCCTGGTCATCGGGTCTCAGCAGATGGCAAATCAAATACTGCCATCTGCTGGTTCCCTAGTAAATCACATTAAGCCTGTGGCAAAGAACCTTGGTGTTTGGTTTGATAGTAATTTAAATTTCGAGCAGCACACCACAAAGCTTGTTCAATCATGTTTTTATCAACTTAGAAATATAGCTAAAATTCGATCTATGTTAACTTTTAAAGACACCAAGACCATTTTACACGCCTTCATCTCATTACACCTGGATTATTGCAACAGTCTTTTCATCTGTTTAACCCAAAAATCTATTGATCGACTACAGACTGTCCAGAACTCAGCTGCCAGGCTTTTAACCAGAACAAAGAAATATGACCACATTACTCCTATTTTAGCTTCATTAAACTGGCTCCCAGTATGTTTTAGAATTGACTTTAAAATTCTATTGATCACTTTTAAAGCTGTTCATGGCCTCTCGCCTTGTTATATTTCTGACCTTTTAGTCCCATACGCACCAGCACGTACCTTGAGATCCTCGGGCAGAGGACTGTTGTCTGTTCCAGAGTCTCAACTGAAAACTAAAGGGGACAGAGCGTTTGCTGTCAGGGCCCCGAGGCTCTGGAACAGCCTGCCCGAGGAAATCAGGTCGGCTGAGTCAGTGAACTCTTTTAAGTCCCTTCTTAAAACATACTTTTATAGGAGAGCCTTTCCCGATCTTATTTGACTTTATTTTATCCCTTTTATTTTATTCTATTTTACTAATTTTATATTTATCTTAAATGTGTATTTTAGTCTTTTCAATGTTTTCTTGCTTTTATCTTGTATTGTTTTTGTATTATTGTCTTGACACTTGTTAAAGCACTTTGTAACTTGTTTTTGAAAAGTGCTCTACAAATAAAGATTATTATTATTATTATTATTATTATTATTATTAAATGATCTTTGTTGGGAGTTGCACATGCTCAGTCCTAGTTAAGAACTACTAGCCAATCAGAAGCAGAGAAGGGCGGGTCAGCGAGAAGCAGGTAAACAGTTTGGGTTCAGCTGTACATGTTGCTTACCAGCTTGGCAACATGGACTGGAGCAAGAGTTTCAGAGTGGTGAGTTATTAATCTGTAACAAAAGTATCTTTCATCCATAAAGTTTTAACTGAGCTCTGTCTCTACATCACAGGAACAACTTTATGTCCACTGACTGCCTGGAGGGTAGCTAGTGTTTGGAAGGGAGAGGAGAGCTGTTTGCTGCAGCTCACTGTTTTTCCACCGCTGTTTTTGAGGGCGTGTTGGATATTAGTAGCTAAATTCATGTATATCTAAGTTCTTTTCAGACTTTAAACTCAGCTAACGGATGAAATTATCATCACTGTAAAAATCCGAGATAACATAAGATAGCATTAAAGAATTCCAGAAGAGAGTGTCAGTAGTTTTTAATGATATCCTCTGTGCATATTTAGTTTTCTGTTTAAAATTGCTGCAGTGAACAGTCAGGTGCACAGAGTGCAAGGAGACGCCATGGTGTTTTGGCAAAGTGTGAGGTACTCTGAATGATTGCTGACATTCGTGCATAATGCCGAATGGCTGCGCTCTGGCACTGCCAAGGATAACGCCAATGGAAGGATTACAGAGTGTCCATGAGGGACCATGATGATGACTGGCTAATTCTTCGACTTAGATTCCCTAGAGTCGTGTTCTTGGATCTGTGTGCTAAACTGGGTCCAGCATTAGACAGACCAACCTGGTGGAAGCGTGCCATCCCAGTACAAATACTACAAGTAGGCTATAACACTGTTTCTGGCAGTCGGCTGTTAGCAGCAGGAGCAGACTATCAGACTGTGTCTGATGGGATGAACAATATTTAGTGTTTACCTTTACACCTAAAGCCTTTGTTTAGAATAATATATCTTTTCTTTTGTTTATGAACAAACAAACAATATGTGCTTTATAACTTCCATCTCACAAGCACCTCAGAAAAAACTCTTTCCCCCCTCTTTTTTGACATCCACTTTATGTCAGACCATGTTTTCTTTATTTCAGCTATTACGAGTCTCTGAGCCGGCTGCATTAACTGCCATTGTGACACTCTGCCACTCCATTGTTGTGCGTTTGTTGCTGATCCAAAAGTTCAAATCATCGAATAAAATATTTCTCCTCTCCTCCTCCTGTTATTTGGACCATAGGAGGTGACACTGGCGTATTTATGGTCATTTGCATAATACTTTATGGGAGGAGCCAAGGCATGGTATGTGCATGTGCGCTCAATTTCACATTGATTGGGATGTATGAAGGAAAGGTGCGCAGGACCTGGCGTACGCCTGGTTTTTATACATGTGGATTTTTCTGTGCTTACTACTTTTCAAATTCTGTATATATACGGCATCTTTCAATGTGAAAGCTGCGCAGTCTTTTATACATGAGGCCCCATGAGAGGGAGAGAGAGAAGCCATCGCTAGCTGCTAAGCTAAAGTCGCTAACAGCTAAGCTAAAGTACAGTAGCATAAGCTCCCAAAACTCTTGTAAACAACTATGAAATTTAACAAGAGTCGCTAAAAGATGGAAAGAATAGTGAGTGCTTAGGCACAACTACTGTAAGAATAAGTGTTTCGCATATAGTTAGCCGCTGTAATGACAAATCTAACACATTAACTGGTATTTAGTTAAAGCAGCAAAACACGCTACCAACACACAAGCACCGGAAACAGAAATAAGTCAATAAGCTTACCGCAGCACGTGAGCTGACAGGACTGAAACATGGAGAGCACGGCTACGCTCACAATTCTGAGTTGTCTCACATCTTTCTTATCAATTTACAAAAAGTAAATTTACTCATCATATTACAACAGGGTTGTAAAACTAAATGTAGTTATACACTCCAGTGTGTATAATACACAACACTCCAATTATGGCATGCATCTGACATCTAAAAAACATGATTTCAACATGTATACAGTGATGCTCAAAAGTTAGTGAACTCTTTAGAATTTTCTATATTTCTGCACAAATGTGACCTTAAACATTCTCAGATTTTCACACAAGTCACACAGAATAGAGGAGACAAAAATACTTTAGCCTATTTGTGGTAAAAGTTGGAAAAGGTTACAAAACCATCTTTTGGACCCCACCAATCCATTGACAGAATCTTTACAAACCAAACAATCAATCGATTCATTGAGAAAATAATCGTCAGATTAATCCAGAATGAAAGTAGTTGCTGTCCAACGTTGTTCAAAATGAGCTCGAGCTCAACAACTACAGCAGCAACATCCTGCTTTAATGCACGAGGAATAATAATCTGATGAAAGAATATTTAATAACACAACAAGCAGACGGACGTTTTCCTCATTATATTCACACACTTTTAATGAAGTACCATTTTCACTGCAGGACTCTTACTTGTTCTAACTCATCGGGGTAGTAGTACTTTTACCCAATTATTAAGTATCTGAATACTTCCTCCACCACGGACTGTACCTGTACACTGCTTGGTGGTTTCAGGGGAAGCTGAGGTAGGCGTGGAGCTGGTGGCTGGATCTGTGAACAATGAAAACACAAAAAAGCCAATCAGACATCGAATCAATACTGACATCAATAAATCCTAACAAGAGACATGACAATCTGCTCTGGATGGATTCAGATACGGTTGAGAATTGAGATTTTTGTTTCTGTTGTGGACAGCATAAAGTTTTCACCAAAGCAAAAGAGCTCAACAATAGAGTGCCTGATGGCCCTTTCAGATAGGAAGCAATTTGCGCTGTGCTGGCTGCAGCGTTCAGCGCAAAACCGCTTGCTTCATCGGGGTAGTAGTACTTTTACCCAATTATTAAGTATCCGAATACATCCTCCATCAGCGACTGTACCTATATACTGCTTGGTGGTTTCAGGAGAAGCTGAGGTCAGTGTGGAGCTGGTGGCTGGAGCTGTAACATCAGAATACGGTCTAGACCTGCTCTTTTATGAACAGCGCTGTAAGATAACTGTTGTTGTGATTTGGCGCTATATAAATAAAATTGAACTGAATTGAATTAAAGACCTTACATAACATGTTGATTCCACTTTCCGACTTAAGAGAACATGAACCCACACCGAAGTCGGAAGAACAACTTCACAACTCTGGAAATGGGACTATCCAAGGAGCATGTGAATGCACCGTGAACTGCTATTTGCAATTTGCAATCCTCACCACTAGATGTCACTAAAACCTACACACTGAACCTACATTAAAGCAACATGATGTGTAACGTAACAGACTTTGAGAAGAGACTTTTATTTTGAAGTTGATTGATGATGTACTTAGAAGCAATAAGCTATCATCCCTGAATATTGCGTCATTATTAGCATCATTATTTCAACTACAATAATGTAATATTTATCTGTGCTACTTTGTGTTTATTTCAGTTTTACCTTCTCTCAAATAAATTCTGCCAAGTACAACACGTGGCGTTTGCTCGTGTTTAAACAGCACTGAAAATGTTATACTTTAATTATTTTTTTTTTTACACATCTTTGATATCCTGAAACTAACATATTACTGTACCTTGGTTGAGTAAGTAAGAGACCATACTGAAATGTCTCAATCTGAGTTAATCGTAAATTAGTTTATGAAATGTGCTATGAGATGATTTGGAACCAGGGGCGAGTTCAGAAAAAACATAGCAAGACATTCTGAAATTGAACTTGCCCCAGGTGAGATCAAAAAGTTCCCAGGAAGTCTTGTAATTTAAGTTTATCCCCCATCTGTGATCAGTTTGGCTAAATACAGCGAGTTGGGTGGTGGAGCAACGAAAGCTAGATCATGTCAAGAAAACTGCATGTTTCCCATTCGCTCTGAGAGTGCGCGTTGTCATGATGGAGGACCTAAATGCCAGTGCGTCACAGTTTAGGGGTCTCATTTATAAACGGTGCGTACGTACAAAACAGGGTTGTTTTTTGTTGTTTTCATTTCATTTTGGGGATACAATCAATTGTCTGCGTCACTGTCAATGGTCTTCCAAATTACCAAACAAACTCCATATTGCCCACTCCTACTACATTAAAATAAAGCATATGTGTGTAAATACTGTTATATAAATTCTAAGAATGTGGGGAAACTAAGCCCTTGTCCATGTATTATTATCATTATTATATGACTTTATTGTCCACCTTAGTGGAAATGTGTCTTCGACTTCTCCGAACAGATATGCAACAGTAACACCACAGTTAAAGTTACAACAAAAAAACAAACAAAACACAGAGTTACGAGTACAACACTGTACCACCATCAACATACAACAACAGAAAATGGAAAGCAGCACAGGAGATGGAAATAAAGTAAGTTACGACCTACAAGAAACACATTTAAAAATGCTTTCAGTTTAAATTCAGTGCCTGTATGGCATGGGGAATAAAAGATCTCTTACAGATGTTCCAGCTCGCCCTTGGGACCCTGAATCTACGGCCAGATGGGAGCAACTCATACTCTGAGTTTAGTGGGTGTAGGGTGTCTGCTGATATCTGTCTGGCCTTCCTGAGTACCGCCCTATCAAATACACCCCAAGCTGCCTTTGTGACTTGCCAATCACCTTCCCTGCAATGTTAACAATTTTGGAAAGCTTGTTTTTGTCTTTCACATTCAGGTTGCCATCCCAAGCTGTTATATTAAACTGTAAAATGCTTTCTTTCCGGGCCCATATATGCCATCTCAAGAATGTGCTGACTGACCCTAAAGCTTCTCAGCTTTCTAATTAAAAACAATCGCTGGTTAGCTCTCTTAAAAATACTCTCTGAGTTTAAATTAAAACTTAAAGTGCGATCAATGATTGTACCCAAGTACTTAAAATTTTCCACTACTTCCACAGGCCGGCTGTTAAGTAACATTGGTGCTGTCATGTCATTTATATAAATTGAAAACAGCAGAGGTGACAACACACAGCCTTGTGGTGCTCAAGTATTTATAACAAGCTCATCTGAGTTCATTAAGACTCTGTGAGGGAGGTCGGTAAAAAAACTTCTAATCCAGTGAATGAGGCCACCATTCACATTCATCCTACAAAGTTGATTTTGGTTGTTGCAGGTGTTTAGCTATTTGATTCACAAAACATATATACTTGCTTAGTGTTTGGGCCCCTATGTACAGCTTCAGATAGCTTAAAAAAGGTGTCCTTTTTCACAAATCTGCATTATATCTAATGATTGTACTTGTATTTTAATGTTTTGTGAAAAAACTAAACTGAACTGAGCTTGGCATCCTGCAGCGACAAATACTAAAACTAACTGACTGAAACTAAACTAAAACTGAACATTTTCAAAAACTAAAAACTAAACTAAACTAGCAAACCCACGTTAAAAACTAATTAAAACGAAAACTGAAATTGAAAACAAAAAGTCAAAATGAAATAAAAATAAAAATTAATGAAAATTCCAAAACTATAATAATCTTACAGTGGCAGGTGACAATTTAAAATTTAAATATATAATGGAAAATAATGCAGTAATCAGCAGCTGGTTGTTTTAGCTTAAGTTACTTTTTTGGACAATGCACATTTGTTTCTTCTATATTTCAGTTGCACTGCATGTTTTCTTACTGAGAATCGTTTCTTTTGTTATTTAACATTTCTTGTTGCTGTTTTTCAGAACATTTTTATCAAAAGCTTTCAAAAAGTGATGGAGAGCCCAGCGTCAACAGTGTCAATATTTTTGGCCCGCCCCTTCCAGTGATTGGTCGGTTCACGAAAATTGACACTGACGAGCTACATTTTGCACAGGACTGTTTGAAAGGCACCCGAGCTTCTCTTTTCCCTACTCTCTCTCTCTTTCCGCCAACAGAGCTTAGCAGGCAGAAAGAACGGGAACAGGTGAGCGTCACGTAGCGCCCAAAGAATCTGATATGGAGAGGGACTTGAAGAGGACCGGTAGCTTGAGAGAAGTCATGGTACGCCAAAGAGTAAAATGGCGAGCTGCTGTGTACCGGTGCATTCCGGCCTACTTCAAGCACTAAACCTAGACATATTTTCAACTGCAAATCATCAAAATAATTGCTAAGTAAATGCCTTTATGGAGGAAAGCCATCTTTATCATTTTCCAAATTACTAAACAATTAAACTAACAGTGTAAATGAAACTGAAAATATTATACATGCTATTTTTAGTTGAAAACAGAAATGTGTTTTGAGCACGGTTTTGGGGGTAAATGTCAAAATAATAAAACTAAATAAAACTACAAACTATTTTCTAAATTGTATAAGTGATGGATTAATTAGGCAAAGTTAACTTACCGAGGACTCGGAGGATTATATCTCCGGTTTGTGTACCCTCTGATGATAATATGCTGATGCTATATTCGCCGCCGTCAGCTGCCTTCAGGGATGTCAGGGTCAAGTATCCGTTGGTCGTGTTGATCGACGCTCTTCCCTGGAACCGTGTGCCCACTTTCAACCCTGACCGACTCAAGGTAGCAGCATTAAATTGAGCCCCGTTGTTGAAATTCCAGGTTATGTAATCATAATTTGCTTTGTCAACCAGGGTGGTTAACGTGACATTTCTTCCCACAATTGCGTCCACCGGACCCGATGGCAGTACGGACTGCCCCGCACAGCATCCTGGGGGTGAGAGACAAGTCAGGTGAAGTGGTTAGACCTGTGGTGCATTTAGTAGCCTATGTATTAATCTGGTAAAATAAGTACAATAGGTGGAAGTTTGTGTTTGGTTTGGTTTGCTCTGGTTCTTAGAAAATGTGTCATTCAGCATTATGACCATGAATCCAAACAGCTTGTTTCAGCGCAAAGGTTTTCTCTAAGGGATGGTTCAGGACTCACCTGAGCCAGCCCTAACTATAAGCTTTATCAAAGAGGAAAGTCTTAAGCCTACTCTTAAATGTGGAGATGGTGTCTGCCTCCTGAACCCAAACTGGAACCTGGTTCCACAGGAGAGGAGCTTGATAGCTGAACGCTCTGGCTCCTAGTCTACTTTTGGAGACTCTAGGAACCACAAGTAACCCTGCATTCTGGGAGCGCAGTGCTCTGGTGGGGTAGTAAGGTACTATGTAGTATTTCTTTTCATATTTATGCTGATGACACACAAATATACTTGCCCGTCAGATCCACAGACCCTGGAATGCTGAGTTCACTTAACAACTGCCTTTGTGAAGTTAAAAAATGGATGTCAAATAATTTCCTCCAGCTGAACTCAGACAAAATAGAAATCCTGGTCATCGGGTCTCAGCAGATGGCAAATCAAATACTGCCATCTGCTGGTTCCCTAGTAAATCACATTAAGCCTGTGGCAAAGAACCTTGGTGTTTGGTTTGATAGTAATTTAAATTTCGAGCAGCACACCACAAAGCTTGTTCAATCATGTTTTTATCAACTTAGAAATATAGCTAAAATTCGATCTATGTTAACTTTTAAAGACACCAAGACCATTTTACACGCCTTCATCTCATTACACCTGGATTATTGCAACAGTCTTTTCATCTGTTTAACCCAAAAATCTATTGATCGACTACAGACTGTCCAGAACTCAGCTGCCAGGCTTTTAACCAGAACAAAGAAATATGACCACATTACTCCTATTTTAGCTTCATTAAACTAGCTCCCAGTATGTTTTAGAATTGACTTTAAAATTCTATTGATCACTTTTAAAGCTCTTCATGGCCTCTCGCCTTGTTATATTTCTGACCTTTTAGTCCCATACACACCAGCACGTACCTTGAGATCCTCGGGCAGAGGTCTGTTGTCTGTTCCAGAGTCTCGACTGAAAACTAAAGGGGACAGAGCGTTTGCTGTCAGGGCCCCGAGGCTCTGGAACAGCCTGCCCGAGGAAATCAGGTCGGCTGAGTCAGTGAACTCTTTTAAGTCCCTTCTTAAAACATACTTTTATAGGAGAGCCTTTCCCGATCTTATTTGACTTTATTTTATCCCTTTTATTTTATTCTATTTTACTAATTTTATATTTATCTTAAATGTGTATTTTAGTCTTTTCAATGTTTTCTTGCTTTTATCTTGTATTGTTTTTGTATTATGGTCTTTACACTTGTTAAAGCACTTTGTAACTTGTTTTTGAAAAGTGCTCTACAAATAAAGATTATTATTATTATTATTATTATTATTATTATTAAATGATCTTTGTTGGGAGTTGCACATGCTCAGTCCTAGTTAAGAACTACTAGCCAATCAGAAGCAGAGAAGGGCGGGTCAGCGAGAAGCAGGTAAACAGTTTGGGTTCAGCTGTACATGTTGCTTACCAGCTTGGCAACATGGACTGGAGCAAGAGTTTCAGAGTGGTGAGTTATTAATCTGTAACAAAAGTATCTTTCATCCATAAAGTTTTAACTGAGCTCTGTCTCTACATCACAGGAACAACTTTATGTCCACTGACTGCCTGGAGGGGAGCTAGTGTTTGGAAGGGAGAGGAGAGCTGTTTGCTGCAGCTCACTGTTTTTCCACCGCTGTTTTTGAGGGCGTGTTGGATATTAGTAGCTAAATTCATGTATATCTAAGTTCTTTTCAGACTTTAAACTCAGCTAACGGATGAAATTATCATCACTGTAAAAATCCGAGATAACATAAGATAGCATTAAAGAATTCCAGAAGAGAGTGTCAGTAGTTTTTAATAATATCCTGTGTGCATATTTAGTTTTCTGTTTAAAATTGCTGCAGTGAACAGTCAGGTGCACAGAGTGCAAGGAGACGCCATGGTGTTTTGGCAAAGTGTGAGGTACTCTGAATGATTGCTGACATTCGTGCATAATGCCGAATGGCTGCGCTCTGGCACTGCCAAGGATAACGCCAATGGAAGGATTACAGAGTGTCCATGAGGGACCATGATGATGACTGGCTAATTCTTCGACTTAGATTCCCTAGAGTCGTGTTCTTGGATCTGTGTGCTAAACTGGGTCCAGCATTAGACAGACCAACCTGGTGGAAGCGTGCCATCCCAGTACAAATACTACAAGTAGGCTATAACACTGTTTCTGGCAGTCGGCTGTTAGCAGCAGGAGCAGACTATCAGACTGTGTCTGATGGGATGAACAATATTTAGTGTTTACCTTTACACCTAAAGCCTTTGTTTAGAATAATATATCTTTTCTTTTGTTTATGAACAAACAAACAATATGTGCTTTATAACTTCCATCTCACAAGCACCTCAGAAAAAACTCTTTCCCCCCTCTTTTTTGACATCCACTTTATGTCAGACCATGTTTTCTTTATTTCAGCTATTACGAGTCTCTGAGCCGGCTGCATTAACTGCCATTGTGACACTCTGCCACTCCATTGTTGTGCGTTTGTTGCTGATCCAAAAGTTCAAATCATCGAATAAAATATTTCTCCTCTCCTCCTCCTGTTATTTGGACCATAGGAGGTGACACTGGCGTATTTATGGTCATTTGCATAATACTTTATGGGAGGAGCCAAGGCATGGTATGTGCATGTGCGCTCAATTTCACATTGATTGGGATGTATGAAGGAAAGGTGCGCAGGACCTGGCGTACGCCTGGTTTTTATACATGTGGATTTTTCTGTGCTTACTACTTTTCAAATTCTGTATATATACGGCATCTTTCAATGTGAAAGCTGCGCAGTCTTTTATACATGAGGCCCCATGAGAGGGAGAGAGAGAAGCCATCGCTAGCTGCTAAGCTAAAGTCGCTAACAGCTAAGCTAAAGTACAGTAGCATAAGCTCCCAAAACTCTTGTAAACAACTATGAAATTTAACAAGAGTCGCTAAAAGATGGAAAGAATAGTGAGTGCTTAGGCACAACTACTGTAAGAATAAGTGTTTCGCATATAGTTAGCCGCTGTAATGACAAATCTAACACATTAACTGGTATTTAGTTAAAGCAGCAAAACACGCTACCAACACACAAGCACCGGAAACAGAAATAAGTCAATAAGCTTACCGCAGCACGTGAGCTGACAGGACTGAAACATGGAGAGCACAGCTACGCTCACAATTCTGAGTTGTCTCACATCTTTCTTATCAATTTACAAAAAGTAAATTTACTCATCATATTACAACAGGGTTGTAAAACTAAATGTAGTTATACACTCCAGTGTGTATAATACACAACACTCCAATTATGGCATGCATCTGACATCTAAAAAACATGATTTCAACATGTATACAGTGATGCTCAAAAGTTAGTGAACTCTTTAGAATTTTCTATATTTCTGCACAAATGTGACCTTAAACATTCTCAGATTTTCACACAAGTCACACAGAATAGAGGAGACAAAAATACTTTAGCCTATTTGTGGTAAAAGTTGGAAAAGGTTACAAAACCATCTTTTGGACCCCACCAATCCATTGACAGAATCTTTACAAACCAAACAATCAATCGATTCATTGAGAAAATAATCGTCAGATTAATCCAGAATGAAAGTAGTTGCTGTCCAACGTTGTTCAAAATGAGCTCGAGCTCAACAACTACAGCAGCAACATCCTGCTTTAATGCACGAGGAATAATAATCTGATGAAAGAATATTTAATAACACAACAAGCAGACGGACGTTTTCCTCATTATACTCACACACTTTTAATGAAGTAACATTTTCACTGCAGGACTCTTACTTGTTCTAACTCATCGGGGTAGTAGTACTTTTACCCAATTATTAAGTATCTGAATACTTCCTCCACCACGGACTGTACCTGTACACTGCTTGGTGGTTTCAGGGGAAGCTGAGGTAGGCGTGGAGCTGGTGGCTGGATCTGTGAACAATGAAAACACAAAAAAGCCAATCAGACATCGAATCAATACTGACATCAATAAATCCTAACAAGAGACATGACAATCTGCTCTGGATGGATTCAGATACGGTTGAGAATTGAGATTTTTGTTTCTGTTGTGGACAGCATAAAGTTTTCACCAAAGCAAAAGAGCTCAACAATAGAGTGCCTGATGGCCCTTTCAGATAGGAAGCAATTTGCGCTGTGCTGGCTGCAGCGTTCAGCGCAAAACCGCTTGCTTCATCGGGGTAGTAGTACTTTTACCCAATTATTAAGTATCCGAATACATCCTCCATCAGCGACTGTACCTATATACTGCTTGGTGGTTTCAGGAGAAGCTGAGGTCAGTGTGGAGCTGGTGGCTGGAGCTGTAACATCAGAATACGGTCTAGACCTGCTCTTTTATGAACAGCGCTGTAAGATAACTGTTGTTGTGATTTGGCGCTATATAAATAAAATTGAACTGAATTGAATTAAAGACCTTACATAACATGTTGATTCCACTTTCCGACTTAAGAGAACATGAACCCACACCGAAGTCGGAAGAACAACTTCACAACTCTGGAAATGGGACTATCCAAGGAGCATGTGAATGCACCGTGAACTGCTATTTGCAATTTGCAATCCTCACCACTAGATGTCACTAAAACCTACACACTGAACCTACATTAAAGCAACATGATGTGTAACGTAACAGACTTTGAGAAGAGACTTTTATTTTGAAGTTGATTGATGATGTACTTAGAAGCAATAAGCTATCATCCCTGAATATTGCGTCATTATTAGCATCATTATTTCAACTACAATAATGTAATATTTATCTGTGCTACTTTGTGTTTATTTCAGTTTTACCTTCTCTCAAATAAATTCTGCCAAGTACAACACGTGGCGTTTGCTCGTGTTTAAACAGCACTGAAAATGTTATACTTTAATTATTTTTTTTTTTACACATCTTTGATATCCTGAAACTAACATATTACTGTACCTTGGTTGAGTAAGTAAGAGACCATACTGAAATGTCTCAATCTGAGTTAATCGTAAATTAGTTTATGAAATGTGCTATGAGATGATTTGGAACCAGGGGCGAGTTCAGAAAAAACATAGCAAGACATTCTGAAATTGAACTTGCCCCAGGTGAGATCAAAAAGTTCCCAGGAAGTCTTGTAATTTAAGTTTATCCCCCATCTGTGATCAGTTTGGCTAAATACAGCGAGTTGGGTGGTGGAGCAACGAAAGCTAGATCATGTCAAGAAAACTGCATGTTTCCCATTCGCTCTGAGAGTGCGCGTTGTCATGATGGAGGACCTAAATGCCAGTGCGTCACAGTTTAGGGGTCTCATTTATAAACGGTGCGTACGTACAAAACAGGGTTGTTTTTTGTTGTTTTCATTTCATTTTGGGGATACAATCAATTGTCTGCGTCACTGTCAATGGTCTTCCAAATTACCAAACAAACTCCATATTGCCCACTCCTACTACATTAAAATAAAGCATATGTGTGTAAATACTGTTATATAAATTCTAAGAATGTGGGGAAACTAAGCCCTTGTCCATGTATTATTATCATTATTATATGACTTTATTGTCCACCTTAGTGGAAATGTGTCTTCGACTTCTCCGAACAGATATGCAACAGTAACACCACAGTTAAAGTTACAACAAAAAAACAAACAAAACACAGAGTTACGAGTACAACACTGTACCACCATCAACATACAACAACAGAAAATGGAAAGCAGCACAGGAGATGGAAATAAAGTAAGTTACGACCTACAAGAAACACATTTAAAAATGCTTTCAGTTTAAATTCAGTGCCTGTATGGCATGGGGAATAAAAGATCTCTTACAGATGTTCCAGCTCGCCCTTGGGACCCTGAATCTACGGCCAGATGGGAGCAACTCATACTCTGAGTTTAGTGGGTGTAGGGTGTCTGCTGATATCTGTCTGGCCTTCCTGAGTACCGCCCTATCAAATACACCCCCAAGCTGCCTTTGTGACTTGCCAATCACCTTCCCTGCAATGTTAACAATTTTGGAAAGCTTGTTTTTGTCTTTCACATTCAGGTTGCCATCCCAAGCTGTTATATTAAACTGTAAAATGCTTTCTTTCCGGGCCCATATATGCCATCTCAAGAATGTGCTGACTGACCCTAAAGCTTCTCAGCTTTCTAATTAAAAACAATCGCTGGTTAGCTCTCTTAAAAATACTCTCTGAGTTTAAATTAAAACTTAAAGTGCGATCAATGATTGTACCCAAGTACTTAAAATTTTCCACTACTTCCACAGGCCGGCTGTTAAGTAACATTGGTGCTGTCATGTCATTTATATAAATTGAAAACAGCAGAGGTGACAACACACAGCCTTGTGGTGCTCAAGTATTTATAACAAGCTCATCTGAGTTCATTAAGACTCTGTGAGGGAGGTCGGTAAAAAAACTTCTAATCCAGTGAATGAGGCCACCATTCACATTCATCCTACAAAGTTGATTTTGGTTGTTGCAGGTGTTTAGCTATTTGATTCACAAAACATATATACTTGCTTAGTGTTTGGGCCCCTATGTACAGCTTCAGATAGCTTAAAAAAGGTGTCCTTTTTCACAAATCTGCATTATATCTAATGATTGTACTTGTATTTTAATGTTTTGTGAAAAAACTAAACTGAACTGAGCTTGGCATCCTGCAGCGACAAATACTAAAACTAACTGACTGAAACTAAACTAAAACTGAACATTTTCAAAAACTAAAAACTAAACTAAACTAGCAAACCCACGTTAAAAACTAATTAAAACGAAAACTGAAATTGAAAACAAAAAGTCAAAATGAAATAAAAATAAAAATTAATGAAAATTCCAAAACTATAATAATCTTACAGTGGCAGGTGACAATTTAAAATTTAAATATATAATGGAAAATAATGCAGTAATCAGCAGCTGGTTGTTTTAGCTTAAGTTACTTTTTTGGACAATGCACATTTGTTTCTTCTATATTTCAGTTGCACTGCATGTTTTCTTACTGAGAATCGTTTCTTTTGTTATTTAACATTTCTTGTTGCTGTTTTTCAGAACATTTTTATCAAAAGCTTTCAAAAAGTGATGGAGAGCCCAGCGTCAACAGTGTCAATATTTTTGGCCCGCCCCTTCCAGTGATTGGTCGGTTCACGAAAATTGACACTGACGAGCTACATTTTGCACAGGACTGTTTGAAAGGCACCCGAGCTTCTCTTTTCCCTACTCTCTCTCTCTTTCCGCCAACAGAGCTTAGCAGGCAGAAAGAACGGGAACAGGTGAGCGTCACGTAGCGCCCAAAGAATCTGATATGGAGAGGGACTTGAAGAGGACCGGTAGCTTGAGAGAAGTCATGGTACGCCAAAGAGTAAAATGGCGAGCTGCTGTGTACCGGTGCATTCCGGCCTACTTCAAGCACTAAACCTAGACATATTTTCAACTGCAAATCATCAAAATAATTGCTAAGTAAATGCCTTTATGGAGGAAAGCCATCTTTATCATTTTCCAAATTACTAAACAATTAAACTAACAGTGTAAATGAAACTGAAAATATTATACATGCTATTTTTAGTTGAAAACAGAAATGTGTTTTGAGCACGGTTTTGGGGGTAAATGTCAAAATAATAAAACTAAATAAAACTACAAACTATTTTCTAAATTGTATAAGTGATGGATTAATTAGGCAAAGTTAACTTACCGAGGACTCGGAGGATTATATCTCCGGTTTGTGTACCCTCTGATGATAATATGCTGATGCTATATTCGCCGCCGTCAGCTGCCTTCAGGGATGTCAGGGTCAAGTATCCGTTGGTCGTGTTGATCGACGCTCTTCCCTGGAACCGTGTGCCCACTTTCAACCCTGACAGACTCAAGGTAGCAACATTAAATTGAGCCCCGTTGTTGAAATTCCAGGTTATGTAATCATAATTTGCTTTGTCAACCAGGGTGGTTAACGTGACATTTCTTCCCACAATTGCGTCCACCGGACCCGATGGCAGTACGGACTGCCCCGCACAGCATCCTGGGGGTGAGAGACAAGTCAGGTGAAGTGGTTAGACCTGTGGTGCATTTAGTAGCCTATGTATTAATCTGGTAAAATAAGTACAATAGGTGGAAGTTTGTGTTTGGTTTGGTTTGCTCTGGTTCTTAGAAAATGTGTCATTCAGCATTATGACCATGAATCCAAACAGGCAACACAACAGAAAGCTACAGGTTCCTGTTTTCTAGAAATAAACCCGTAAATAAAAACATCTCAAATCAATCTAATCTCTAAAGAAATTACACAGAAATATTTATCTCTTCTTACCGATAAAAGCGAGCAGAAAGAGAAGCAACGTAAAGGCTAACGGATCCATCCCAGACGGTTCAAGTCTTTCCTGCAGAGACAGAGAAAGCAGAACTGCAGCTGGAGGAACTCAGATCTCACTCTCTCTCTCTCTCTCTCTCTCACTCTCTCACACTCACACTCACACTCAGACTCACACACACACACACACACACACACACAATGCTATTTCCTGTATTTAAATACACAGTCCAGCAAATAGCAGATTAGGATGAATTTGGTTCAAAAAAGGAAACACTAAAGTCATGAGTCAGCCACATAGGCTGTGACAAAAACACCACTAATATTTTGTATTGCATTTGTCCCTGTTTGTGTGCAGATTAAACTTTTTGTGGTTTTCTGGGAGTTACGTAACGTTAAGTGAGTGAGCAGTAGATCTGGTCCTGTTCCCTGCTGGCTGGATCGAGGCTCTGGTAAGTCTTTACCTGTGAAGATTGCAGTCCTGTTCTCATGGATGACAGATAACTGAAAATAACACGTATTGCACATATGCACTATGTTGCCAAAAGTTTTGGCCACCTCTCCAGATCATTGAATTTATGTGTTCCAGTCACTTCCATGGCCACAGCTGTATAAAATCAAGCACCTAGGCTGCTTCTACAAACATGTGTGAAAGAATGGCTCTCAGGAGCTCAGTGAATTCAAACGTGGTACCGTGATAGGTTGCCACCTGTGCCATAACTCCATTTGTGAAATTTCTTCAATGCCAAATATTCCACAGTCAAGCGATTAGGAGCAACAGAAACTCAGCAATGTCACAGAGCGGGGTCACTGCGTGCTGAGGCGCACAGTGCGCAGAAGTCGCCAACTTTCTGCAGAGTCAATAGCTATAGACCTACAAACGTCGTGTGGCCTTCGGATTAGCTCAAGTACAGTGTGTAGAAAGCTTCATGGAATGATTTTGCCTGGCCGAGCAGCTGCATCCAAGCCTTACATCTCCAGTGCAATGCAAAGTGTCGGATGCAGCGGTATAAAGCACGACGCCATTGGACACTAGAGCGGTGGAGATGTGTTCTCTGGGGGGACGAATCACACTTCTCTGTCTGGCAATCTGATGGACGAGTCTGGGTTTGGCGGTTGCCAGGAGGTCGGTACTTGCTGACTGCAGTGTAAAGTTGGGTGGAGGGGGGATTATGGTGTGGAGTTGTTTTTCAGGGGTTGGCTTGGCCCCTTAGTTCCAGTGAAAGGAACTGTTAATACTTCAGCCTACCAAGACAGTGTGGACAGTTTTATCCCTTTGTGGAAACACTGAGGATGACCCCCGACATGACTGCGCACCAGTGCACAAAGCGAGGTCCATAAAGACATAGATGAGTGAGTTTGGTGTGGAGAACTTGACTGGCCTGCACAGGGTACTGACCCCAACCCGATACAGCACCTTTGGGATGAATTAGAGTGGAGACTGCGAGCCAGGCCTTCTAGTCCAACATCTGTGCCTGACCTCACAAATGTGCTTCTAGAAGTACGGTCACAAATTCCCATAAACACACTCCTAAACCTTGTGGACAGCCTTCCCAGAAGAGCTGAGGCTGTTATAGCTGCAAAAGGTGGGCCAACTCCATATTAAACCCTACGGATTGAAACCAAATGGGATGTCATTAACCTTCATGTGCATGTAAAGGCAGGCGACCCAAAACCTTTGTAAATGTAATGTAAATGCTCCGTACTTGTATAGCGCCTTTCTAGTCTTTTTCGACCACTCAAAGCGCTTTTACACTACATCTGCATTCACCAGTCACACACATTCATACACTGAGCCTAAGTGCTCAAACAGAAACTAACATTCACACTCACTCATACACTGGCGGAACAGCCGCCAGGGGCAATTCGGGGTTCAGTATCTTGCCCAAGGACACTTCGACACGCAACCAGGGGGAGCCAGGGATTGAACCGCCGACCTTCCAGTTAACGGCCAACCCGCTCTTTGAAGATCTGAAGTTTATGTTTTTCATTCATTTGAAGAGCAGCAGCAGCAGAAAACCAGCCAACAGCAGGACAATCAGAATGACACAAACAGCCAGAGGCAGAGACAGCTGAGAGACAGAGAGGAAAGGTGGATAAGAAGGCTGAGAGACAGAGAGGAAAGGTGGGTAAGAGGGTGAGAGACAGAGAGGAAAGGTGGGTAAGAAGGCTGAGAGACAGAGAGGAAAGGTGGATAAGAAGGCTGAGAGACAGAGAGGAAAGGTGGGTAAGAAGGCTGAGAGACAGAAAGGAAAGGTGGGTAAGAAGGCTGAGAGACAGAGAGGAAAGGTGGGTAAGAAGGCTGAGAGACAGAGAGGAAAGGTGGGTAAGAGGGTGAGAGACAGAGAGGAAAGGTGGGTAAGAAGGCTGAGAGACAGAGAGGAAAGGTGGATAAGAAGGCTGAGAGACAGAGAGGAAAGGTGGGTAAGAAGGCTGAGAGACAGAGAGGAAAGGTGGATAAGAAGGCTGAGAGACAGAAAGGAAAGGTGGGTAAGAAGGCTGAGAGACAGAAAGGAAAGGTGGGTAAGAAGGCTGAGAGACAGAGAGGAAAGGTGGGTAAGAAGGCTGAGAGACAGAGAGGAAAGGTGGGTAAGAAGGCTGAGAGACAGAGAGGAAAGGTGGGTAAGAAGGCTGAGAGACAGAGAGGAAAGGTGGGTAAGAAGGCTGAGAGACAGAGAGGAAAGGTGGATAAGAAGGCTGAGAGACAGAGAGGAAAGGTGGGTAAGAAGGCTGAGAGACAGAGAGGAAAGGTGGGTAAGAAGGCTGAGAGACAGAGAGGAAAGGTGGGTAAGAAGGCTGAGAGACAGAGAGGAAAGGTGGGTAAGACGGCTGAGAGACAGAGAGGAAAGGTGGGTAAGAAGGCTGAGAGACAGAGAGGAAAGGTGGGTAAGAAGGCTGAGAGACAGAGAGGAAAGGTGGATAAGAAGGCTGAGAGACAGAGAGGAAAGGTGGGTAAGAAGGCTGAGAGACAGAGAGGAAAGGTGGGTAAGACGGCTGAGAGACAGAGAGGAAAGGTGGGTAAGACGGCTGAGAGACAGAGAGGAAAGGTGGGTAAGACGGCTGAGAGACAGAGAGGAAAGGTGGGTAAGAAGGCTGAGAGACAGAGAGGAAAGGTGGGTAAGACGGCTGAGAGACAGAGAGGAAAGGTGGGTAAGAAGGCTGAGAGACAGAGAGGAAAGGTGGGTAAGACGGCTGAGAGACAGAGAGGAAAGGTGGGTAAGACGGCTGAGAGACAGAGAGGAAAGGTGGGTAAGACGGCTGAGAGACAGAGAGGAAAGGTGGGTAAGACGGCTGAGAGACAGAGAGGAAAGGTGGGTAAGACGGCTGAGAGACAGAGAGGAAAGGTGGGTAAGACGGCTGAGAGACAGAGAGGAAAGGTGGGTAAGAAGGCTGAGAGACAGAGAGGAAAGGTGGGTAAGAAGGCTGAGAGACAGAGAGGAAAGGTGGGTAAGAAGGCTGAGAGACAGAGAGGAAAGGTGGGTAAGACGGCTGAGAGACAGAGAGGAAAGGTGGGTAAGAAGGCTGAGAGACAGAGAGGAAAGGTGGGTAAGACGGCTGAGAGACAGAGAGGAAAGGTGGGTAAGACGGCTGAGAGACAGAGAGGAAAGGTGGGTAAGACGGCTGAGAGACAGAGAGGAAAGGTGGGTAAGAGGGTGAGAGACAGAGAGGAAAGGTGGGTAAGAAGGCTGAGAGACAGAGAGGAAAGGTGGGTAAGACGGCTGAGAGACAGAGAGGAAAGGTGGGTAAGAAGGCTGAGAGACAGAGAGGAAAGGTGGGTAAGACGGCTGAGAGACAGAGAGGAAAGGTGGGTAGGAAGGTTGAGAGACAGAGAGGAAAGGTGGGTAAGAAGGCTGAGAGACAGAGAGGAAAGGTGGGTAAGACGGCTGAGAGACAGAGAGGAAAGGTGGGTAAGAAGGCTGAGAGACAGAGAGGAAAGGTGGGTAAGACAGCTGAGAGACAGAGAGGAAAGGTGGGTAGGAAGGCTGAGAGACAGAGAGGAAAGGTGGGTAAGAAGGCTGAGAGACAGAGAGGAAAGGTGGGTAAGACGGCTGAGAGACAGAGAGGAAAGGTGGGTAAGAAGGCTGAGAGACAGAGAGGAAAGGTGGGTAAGACAGCTGAGAGACAGAGAGGAAAGGTGGGTAGGAAGGCTGAGAGACAGAGAGGAAAGGTGGGTAAGAAGGCTGAGAGACAGAGAGGAAAGGTGGGTAAGAAGGCTGAGAGACAGAAAGGAAAGGTGGGTAAGAAGGTTGAGAGACAGAGAGGAAAGGCGGGTAAGAAGGCTGAGAGACAGAGAGGAAAGGTGGGTAAGAAGGCTGAGAGACAGAGAGGAAAGGTGGGTAAGAAGGCTGAGAGACAGAAAGGAAAGGTGGGTAAGAAGGTTGAGAGACAGAGAGGAAAGGTGGGTAAGAAGGCTGAGAGACAGAGGAAAGGTGGGTAAGAAGGCTGAGAGACAGAGAGGAAAGGTGGGTAAGAAGGCTGAGAGACAGAGAGGAAAGGTGGGTAAGAAGGCTGAGAGACAGAGAGGAAAGGTGGGTAAGAAGGCTGAGAGACAGAGAGGAAAGGTGGGTAAGAAGGCTGAGAGACAGAGAGGAAAGGTGGGTAAGAAAGCTGAGAGACAGAGAGGAAAGGTGGGTAAGACGGCTGAGAGACAGAGAGGAAAGGTGGGTAAGACGGCTGAGAGACAGAGGAAAGGTGGGTAAGAAGGCTGAGAGACAGAGAGGAAAGGTGGGTAGGAAGGTTGAGAGACAGAGAGGAAAGGTGGGTAAGACGGCTGAGAGACAGAGAGGAAAGGTGGGTAAGACGGCTGAGAGACAGAGGAAAGGTGGGTAAGAAGGCTGAGAGACAGAGAGGTGTGTTCAGGGTCTAAACAGAAGATAACTTATTGTACCGTAAGTGTCACGGTGGGTTATGCAGAAAAACAGGGACTGGACCCAAACGCAGACAGAACAGGCAGATAAGGTTAACTTCAAATATTTGTTGTCTAAAAATGTGCGGACATGCAGATACAGGCAGGTACATAGGCTTGCTGGCAAAAAAACAGGCAGCTGGTAGACAGAGAGATATAGCCAACTGGGACCGTGATTGGTTATTGTGTTAAATTGTGGCAACACAGATATTCAGTGGTAATGCGAATTCCAGGATATTAAATGTTAATATTTGTCCTTAAATTGCTTATAAAATTATCTTTCAACACCCCCTTCCCTTTCATTCAGTTCTCCTGCAGGATGTCTCTTGTTTTTCTGTGATTGACTCTGTATTGAGTGTTCTGTCAGATTGATTATTAGTTATTTGTGATGCTTTAACTGTGAGCTCCCCTCTCATGCCTCTAGGCTTTATCTAGTTTCCTTGTTTTCTTTGGTTATTGATTTCTCAGTGCGTTTGTGCTTGTGGGTACCAGATGGACCCAATTGGGTATGGACCACATCTTCCTTCCCCCTTACCCCACTAGCGATAGCCTTAGATAGTGAAGCCTATATGAAACAGAATGTTAGCTACGTACCATAACTCCAGATTCTATGGGTAAAGGCGAAGCCTTCTAAGCTGTTTAAGTGTCTGGGCCACTTGACCGACTTATGTTCCAACTGCATCACTCACTCCGTAAGTCTCTATTATCTGTGTGACAGCCCTCTGGCTCTGCTGTGCCCTGTGGGGTTTTCTCTTTCCATTGGCTGCTGTTTGTGTCTTGTGACTTCTCCGGACAGTAGACGGGTGGACCAGCGTCCCACTGTTTTCTGCGTCTCTGAGCTGATGGCACTGCTGGACATCTTCCAGTTGTGAAATGACTGCCTGGGAGGAACGTTGCTGATGCAGAAAAACTACCTTGTGTCTTGTTGTTGTGCTCAGTCTTGCCAAGACATTTGTTATATCTATAGCATCTTCGCCTTGTTAGCTAAGTTTGTTTGTTCCTCACCCATTTTTATTTCTCTTATGTTTTATGTTTCAGTTAATGATTGTGTTTCAACCTACATATTGAATTGGTGAAAAGCATCTGTTTGGTATAATTGTTTAACCATACACCTGATGATATGCCTACAAAATCCTTGACTTTGAGCAAGTATACCTAGATCATTTTGTAAAGAAAAGGAAAAGGGTAGTCACGAGTGTGCATCTTTACTGATCTCACAATTCAATTCAATTACGATTATCCAGTCTTCGATTGAATATCTCGATGCATCCCCTCTAGGGGTGGGAATTTCTAGGCACCTCATTACGATTATGAGGCTACGATGTGATTGTAAAACGAATTGGATAGAGATGTATTTTTCTCACTTTTAGCCCTTTAAAGCAAAGTATTTCTAACAATCGAAACAAGTAGGTAGTAATAAAATGCAGCTATTTAATGTTACTTCATATAAATGTAGCTAACATCGCATAGCATTGTTACATTATGACAGCATTATTACTGACCTCTGCTGCTATTTTCATTTCTGGTGCTGCTGTTATTAGTATAGAGTCAGATGAGGGTTGAACTACACACTTTACAATGCTCCAGCCAAATCACGTTATTATATCTGTTCCTTTTTTTGTCTCGTCTAGTGTAGTCACATGTTTGTGTCTTGTCCTGTAAGCTGATTATTGTGATCTTGTATTGAGCACCATGGGCCCTGAAAAACAGCATTGTGTTCATTTGTGTACTCGATATGTGGATGAATAACAACAAACCAACTTTACAGCAGCCAAATAACGCCCTGCCTGTCTGTGCCGATCGGGGAGAACCACCCATCTCCGTTGCATCTAAAAATCAATTATTTTCCACACCGCTAGTGGTCACACCAAATATTGATTTGATTGAGATTCGGGACCATAATTAATAAAACATCATGCTGCGTTGGTGAATTTAAAATTTAGATCTGTTACATCTTACTCTTATTTCAGGGCTGCCCACAGTGACTTTGTTTCTTTGTTGTATCAGTGTCTGCAGGTGACGGTGATGGTGCAGTTGGTGCTGCTGGATGAGGTGCTGTTGTCGTTGTTCGTCTTGTTGTAGTTGTAGTTGTTGATGTTGTTGCTGGTGGAGCCTTGTTACCTTCAGTGAGAGATGGAGGAGATACAGTACACTGCTTAGTACAGGCCACAAAAACTACACTTTACCACAAATGTTGTGAAAGATTAGATGATAGACTGGTATCTTGTAAGTAGAAAAAAAGGCTGCAACCTGTGGTTTTATTTAGCAGAAGTGTTCTCACGACAGCTGAGTTGCGAGTTTCATCTGAAGCAAGCATAACACTTTGGGTATACTGCAGATTACATTCATATTTACTTTCATTAAGCCTTGTGTGAAGTCAATCTGTTTTTCCAGAAGAGGCATTAACAGTACAGTTGTTGGTGGTGCCTGGTCACATTCATTCTAGAAAAGAAAAAATGTATATCAGAGGACAAAACATGCATCTTGTGATACAGAACGTCTCAAAATAATCAAACAAGTTTGAAAATAGTAGGCGGCCATGTCCACTTTTTGTGGTGAGTCGTCGAGCACCAGAGTTCTCTCAACTGTGGATGTTACTTTCTATTTTGTAGAAACTGTCTTGTGTTTGAAGTCAGCATTAAAGCTGCTCTCTAGTCTGTTCTGTATGTTATAAAAATATTAGCAGCATGAACTGAGCTGTTTTTCTTTTATTTAGCTAATTAAAATGTCTCCTTTAATTAAGTACAATCTGATTGTGAGTTTTATGATTAAAGTTTAATACAGTAAAGTAAAGTAAAAAAAAAAATGTGCCAATAAATTTCTGCTGAAAACTTAAACATTTAGCTCAGAAACTCCACAGCATGTTCATTATTACGTGAAGTATTTTCCAGCGTCTGAGACAGTAACTCTGACAATGTAAAGTGACTTATCTGGCAATGAACTGTTTCGTCTGCCTGGGTCATTGTGTCTTATCACCTTTAGCTCTAAGTATGTTGACTTTGTTTCCATTAATCTCTCTAAGCCACGTCACTTTACCCTCAACAGGGTGAGGACGCTGCAGAGAGGCCAGGCTCTTCTCAAATACTTTGATATATTGCTGCAAAAGAAACAGAATTTTTCATAACTGTCAAATGTAGTCATTGCATATTGAATAAAACTTTATCAATCAGTGTTTTTACATTATAAGTCAGCTATACCATACACCACTGAGACAGGTTCAAGCCCAGAATGTACCAAGACCTCACAATAAAGTGCAGACTACATGTTCTTCATGAATTACTAAAATATTTTTAATGCCTTCAATCAAGGACACTTGATGAGTTTACTGATACGCTGATTATATTGAATCCCAGTTTAGCAGAAGAAAATGTAACCAATGAGCACAGTTGGAGGAAGTATGCAGATTCTTTACTTCAGTAAAAGTACCAAACTGAAAAAATACTCGTAAAAAATGCATTGAAAAGTATGTAAGTGTTAATAGTACTTTCTGTATTGGTAGCGTTCTCCTGTCCTTCGGGCCTGTGGGGTAATAAGCGGCTACAAGTTCTTCTTCAATAATCTTCTTTAATTGACAGCAAGATGCATGACAGTACACACACATGTTGTAGCACATTTTCACACTTCTCTGTCTCCCCCTGGAAACATGTAGGTGGGAAACAAAATACTCTGCTCTGAATTTACAAATGATAAGGAAACAATTACTGTGTGTACTAATAAACTTAATTTTCAAATAATAATATATTACTCCTACAGTAATATAAATCCTACCACCTTATACTGCACAGTTTCATATAACTAAGGTTACAAAAGTGTCATGATCCATTGCTGTGACATTCTGTTACATCTTACTCTCATTTCAGGGCTGCCCACAGTGACTTTGTTTCTTTGTTGTATCAGTGTCTGCAGGTGACGGTGATGGTGCAGTTGGTGCTGCTGGATGAGGTGCTGTTGTCGTTGTTCGTCTTGTTGTAGTTGTAGTTGTTGATGTTGTTGCTGGTGGAGCCTTGTTACCTTCAGTGAGAGATGGAGGAGATACAGTATACTGCTTAGTACAGGCCACAAAAACTACACTTTACCACAAATGTTGTGAAAGATTAGATGATAGACTGGTATCTTGTAAGTAGAAAAACAGGCTGCAACCTGTGGTTTTATTTAGCAGAAGTGTTCTCACGGCAGCTGAGTTGCGAGTTTCATCTGAAGCAAGCATAACACTTTGGGTATACTGCAGATTACATTCATATTTACTTTCATTAAGCCTTGTGTGAAGTCAATCTGTTTTTCCAGAAGAGGCATTAACAGTACAGTTGTTGGTGGTGCCTGGTCACATTCAATCTAGAAAAGAAAAAATGTATATCAGAGGACAAAACATGCATCTTGTGATACAGAACGTCTCAAAATAATCAAACAACTTTGAAAATAGTAGGCGGCCATGTCCACTTTTTGTGGTGAGTCGTCGAGCACCAGAGTTCTCTCAACTGTGGATGTTACTTTCTATTTTGTAGAAACTGTCTTGTGTTTGAAGTCAGCATTAAACCTGCTTTCTAGCCTGTTCTGTATGTTATGAAAATATTTTCAGTATGTTTCTGCAGTTATACCTCTCAGAGCACTATTTTCTTTTCAGGAATTAAATGGTCTCAAAAAATAATTTCCTGTCTGATACCTGTGCACAAGAATAAACATTCAGGAAGGAAGAACAGTTTATACATCAGAAGTAGCAGCAGCAAAGCATTCAAAAGATTTATTTATTTAAAGATATTACTTCAGTTTGAGCATGATGTTAAAATTTCTTGTTACAGTATTATTCCTGCACTGAGATGTGATCAGGCAGCAGAGATAACTTTCCAGTTTTGTAGATAAATCATGTAGTAATGAATTTTATTTCATGTTAAGTGAAAAATTACTAACCTAAAAAAATACACAGAAAAGTACAACAAAAAAGCTACAGTAACAGGAAGTAAAGGTGACAAATGAATTCTGTTCTGCCAATCTAGTGTGGCATTAAATTAATTAATTACAATCTGATTATGTGTTTTATGATTAAAGTTATATTTGTTATTTAAAATTTGTTCTTAAAAGGGGCCATATGTGTTTTCTTAATGAAGTGAAAGTCTTTTTTATTGCCTGTGTGTGAACAGATTGTAACCTCACATAAAAACGATCCACTTGCCGTGTTTTTCTGATACCTCTGACGGCCAGAATGTGGACTCGATCTCGTTTGCTGAGGTGTTGTTGCTGAGTGTACGGTACCGATTCAGCAGAGACATATTTTGCTGCAATTATTTCACATTTGGGCATTTCTCCCAGTTAATAGGGGAGTTTCTGTGTGTCTGATATAAATTTGAATTCTGGGTATATTTGGGAAATGTTTGCAAAGTTCTCTTAATGTTTTATATTCAGGGCATGAGGTTAGAAAGTGCAGCTCTGTCTCTACCAGTCAGTGCTGTGAGTCTTTCCTCTTGTGGTAACCAGCTCAGTCTGGATGTTGTCAACATTTGTCTTAGTTTAGGACATTTTATTGTACTCAGGTCATTTGCCAGAGCGAATTCTCTTTTTAGGGTCAGATAACATTGGAATTTACTGTGTGTTTTGGTCGTTTCTTTCCAGTATTCAATATATTTTATATATTTTATTTATTTTGGTGTTGCTGTCCTGAGGCTGTTGGGGACTTGTTACTGCAGAGAGCCTCAGGACCAGCTGGCTGACTCTTCCCTGGTTTTAGCACCTGGTATGTTGGGGCTTTTTGATGGTGTTGGGCCTCACAGTCTGGTAGAACAAAGAATGGGCCTTCTGCCATCCTACAGGCCTGTTGATTTCCCTAAAGCCTGGATTGGAATTATTTCAAACAAAGGACTGTAAAACAGGTGCCAAAGCCCGTTTCACACATAGTTGTAAAATAGTGAGTCAGACACAAAAGCTGAACCACTATTGGCAGTGCTTGTAATCTAATCCTCAGGTATAAGTAGGACTGAGCACAGCCAATCTTTCCACAAGAGAGAAACTCCGCCGGATTTCCTAAAAGGACTGACGCATCTACTCGCTACCAAAGCGACACATTAGAGGCTTTAGTATGTCTGGGCAGCAGACAATTCTATTACTTTGTTATTGTAACTTGTACAAGCTTCATGTGGTGAATTTCTGTTAATAAACTCCAAGTGATATTTAAAGACCGCCGTGTCTTGTTTTATTGCTTGTGCGGCTCTACGCATCTTTGCATTGACTTTGCATGTAAACTCACCGCCCCGAACGCTCGCTTCACTTTTGGTCTGAAAGCACCATGTCTCTCCCCCTCCTTTGTCTCTCACTCTCACACACATACATGCTTGCTGGTTTGTTGTATGCTTTTGTACGTTTTCATTTTATTTGCTTTATTTCATTTTGCTTAGAACATTATTAGTGATTTACTTGCTAAAGTTATTGATCTACGCTTGAGTTAAATAAATCCTTTTATAATTTTAAGAAGTCGTTGCCTGTGATTATTTGTGTATAATGTTGCAGTAAGAGTTGGTTGCTAACTTTGAATACTAATAGTTTTATTAATATTTCTAGAATATCTTTGATATTCAGCTAATAACCAAACCTGACCATGTGATGAAAACCCCAACACTGGTATGTCTGGGGGTTAACTGATTTTAAGTGATTGTAAAATTTAATTGATCTTTTCTGTGTTATAAATTAAGGCTGGTGCCAAAGGATTATGGGGTATGAACCTCAGGGGTTTCAGTCAGGTTAGGATGATGGATGCATGGAAAATGTGTGTGAGGGTGTTATAATGTGCAATAAATAATAACTATCAACTAAAACAACATATCCAGAAACCAAGGCGAAGGTGGAACCTGTGGAGTAAAACAGATTAGTTAGCAAGTTAGCAGAGAGGTCTGTTCGTTCGTCCTCAGCCCAGCAGCGACCTCTCCCTAAGAATGAGAATAAAATGTTAAATACTCTACAGGGCAATTAGCCCGGGCGCCCAGAGTTACTGCAATCAGCTCTTCCTGTACAAGGAAGAGAGAGAAGCCACAGCCACACATGATCCCACATCTGTATTTTTAGCAGGCTGAGCTTTGCTCGCTCTCTCTCTTTTCGAAGACACCAAACATCCAGTCCCCACCAGATCGTACCAGAAAGCTGACAGTAATTATAATCAGGAAAACTTCCATAAAGTGTTAAAATATCCCGTGTGCCTGTTGCACAATTATATCACCTCTAATCAGTTTGATTCCTCAGCTGATGATTCTGTTGATTATTTTCTCCATTAATCGATCATTTGGTTTGTAAAGATTCTACCTTCACAGTTACCCAGAGGCCAAAGTGACACCTTTTCAACACTTCTTTAATACTATTATTCAAAAGTAGAATCACCTTTTGAGAAGCTGGAACTTTGGAAAACTAGTTAGCAATTTGTTAACTGTCAGTTGATCAATTAATCAACTAGGCCTAATTGTTTCAGCTGTACTTCTATAAACTGTTGGGTACTTTAATTTACAAAAAAACATCCTTATTTACAAGCTCTATGTAAAACGTTCTCAAATGTAGTGTGCGTTACCTGAGAATAAATGCACTTACTTACATTCCACTGCAAATAAGAAATGTATTTTAAAGTGAGCAAGTTTAACTGATTAATTCAAAAGTTCTTACCAGCAGTGACTTTATAGCTCAGAACGAAGGCCAACAGGCAGCTGCAGATAATCGCCCTCATCTTCACACAGGCTGAAATGACTCTGTACACAGAATAATGTCTCACCTCAGCTTATCGAGGCTGAAAACAGGAACTGTGTGGTTACATATGTTAGTTTTGTAAACAGAAATACACTCACCTCAGTGTCTTTTTGTGGTCAAATACAGTTTCCTTTAGCGTGACCATGAGCTCACACATATTTCACCAACAACAAATATTGTATTGGTGCTGGAAAGTGTTGCGTGTTTAGTTATATATATAATATTTTAATTTAGAAGTTCTTACCTACGCAGAACAAAGACTTAAAGAAAAAAACAGAAAAGGATGTGTAAGCCGCATATTCTTTTGTTTTTGTGGTTAATGAACACTGATGGTTTCTGTTATTTAAATATACAGCATGATCACATTGCCCTCACGTGATACTTTGCCAGTACTTAAGCAAGCGCCTGAGGCTTCTAGTAACAGAGAGTGTTTTGCTACTGAACATATAGCGTTTCTCTTTTTCTTATTTTTCTTGTGAATGTTTTCCTGTTTTGATTTCTCTGGAGTTACCTTGGTCAACTATGCGTGGGTGCGTTTAATGTATATTTGTGAATCACAGCTGACCATTGAAGTGTATTTACCTGGCCTGTCACTGGCTGGCGGGGAACCGAGAAGTGGCCTCGGCATCACTTAAGTACCAGCCGGTTCATTGTGCCCCACATTGTTTGCATAAGCTTGCAACTTTCCCCAAAAGCAAGGACAATAGTGGCAGCTGCCCACGCATTGAAGAGAACAAGACTGTATATTTTTCATCTCATCACACCAGCAGGAACCGTTTGTTGAGCTTACTGAGAAGCTGAACAAACGGGCTGCAGATGGTTTTTTTGTGCATAATTCGTAAAATTGTGTGTTCAATCCCCCACACTGCATGAGTGTCTTTTCTCTCCCTCTACAACAAATTCATTATGAAGAGACTGTTAAACATACTCACAATAAAGCAGGTGCTGGAGGGTGATTGGTTCACATCCATCAACCTATATTTCTACAAAAATATGAAGTTTGTCTGTGGGATTTTTTGCACTTTCATTAACATTTGGGCCTGGATCCTAATTTCAGCTCTAATTCATCCCAAAGGTAATGGATAAGGTCAGAGCTCTGTGCAGGCCAGTCAAGTTCTTCCACATCAAACTGGGAAAACCATTTCTATATGCAGCTGGCTTTGTGGACAGAGTGCTGCTATACTGAAACAGAAAAAGGCCAACCACAAACTGTTTTGAACTTTTGTCTATAATTGTTTTTGTAGCATCAAGATTTCCCTTAACAAAGACCACACCATGAACAGTTTTAGGACAGGTTTGTCCCCAGTACATTTGTCCATATAGCATATGTCAAGTATAAAGTATAGTAATAAATAAAGTATAGTAGATGTTTCTCACTCTTCTGCTCTGATTTCTACATTATTAGAATATGTTACTGTGAAGAAAGAAGCTACACCTAGTCAACTCAGACACTGGACCACAATTACCAGAAACAAATAATGAAAAAAATACTTTAATAATAAATGACACAGTATTACTTATTACTTTTGCTACTTGAGGGCGACCATCCCAAACAGTTCAAATAAATACTCTTTTCACACCGGATAACTAATACTTTTCTATTCTATGAATTAGCCTGGGAATAAATCCTGTAAAAACATAATAGTTTTATAGTCTTGTACTGTTCGTGTCTCACAGTCTGATGTCTCTTCTTTCTCCATTGTTGTCCAGAAAGTATTAAAACCACATCAGTGAATCTCGCTGCTGCACTGAGTCACATGTTCCTTCATCACCATGAACACACACTGTAGTTTATTCTGACTCAGTCCACATCCTCCGTCCTGCTGCCCCAAATACTCACTAGAGCACCACATGTGGATTCACCCACCACTGAGTTTTAGTATTTTTGTGCCCTTTTAGTGTTTCCACAGTGTTTCCTTGCTTAACCAGGGCGGAGGGATTTGTCTTGATAGTTCCTTGGAAGTTGGTGCCACAACAGTACCAGGATGGAGATATCCACTTCGAGAATGATCACGACAATGAATAACTCTCTCAACATACATATGGCATCTAACTTTTGTATGAAGTCCGGCTTCAACAAATTAAATTTAAACTCTACAACGTTCACCACCTCAGTGTTTTAGTGTTTACTCTGCTCATCGTGCTTTCCCCTTCAGTTCTCTTGTCCCTGCACACTCACCCAAATATACTTTGGCCGTTAATATCCCTGAGCGGGCTCTCCCAAGTAAAGCCTATATGTGGGAAACACTGCTGCTAGAAAGAATTGGCTCAAAGAGCAGTTTCATTTATTTCCACTGCTCTCACCAACACACTTGTGTGTTTTGACAATATGGAGTCGAGTGAATCTTTTATCACAAACACTGCAGCTAAATGGTTTCTCCCCTGTGTGAACAGGCAAGTGCTGTCTCAGAGTTGCATGTAGTGTGAATCTTTTGCCACAAACTGAACAACTAAATGGTTTCTCCCCCGTGTGGACTTTCAAGTGTTGTCTCAGATTCCCCTTTTGTGTAAACTTTTTACCACAAACTGAACAGCTAAATGGTTTCTCCCCCGTGTGGACGGTCAAGTGTCGTCTCAGAGTTTCATGTAGTGAAAATGTTTTACTACAAACCGAACAACTATATATTTTCTCCCCCGTGTGGACAGTCAAGTGTCGTCTCAGAGTCCCCTGTAGTGCAAATCTTTTAGGACAAACTGAACAACTAAATGGTTTCTCCCCCGTGTGCACATTCAAGTGTCGTCTCAGATGTCCCTTTCGTTTGAATCTTTGACCACAAACTGAACAACCAAATGGTTTGTCCTCTCTCTGGACAGGTTCCCTGGTCTCCTCCCAATCACAACTATCATCAGTCTCAGGTTCAGAGGGGAGTGAAGTCTGGTCATGAGTAGTTGGTTGTAAAGGACTATCTGGATTAAAGTTTCTGGCTGGTTCTGGTCCTCCACAGTCCTCTCCATCAGCTTCTGTTTCCAAATGCTCTGCATCTCTGTTCCCTTCAGTTTGGCTTTGATGAAGCTGTGAGGACTGAGGTTTCTCTTCATCATCTTCTTCACTCTTCACAGGGACAGGAGTGAATGGGAACTTGGTGATATCAGCCTCCTCCAGTCCTGGAAGCTGCTCTCCCTCCTGACTGGTCCAGAGATCCTCCTGTTCCTCTTTAACGTGTGGCGGCTCTGGTGGGTCCTCCTGGTCCAGCCTGGGGCTCCACTGCTGCTGCTGCTCAGGGGGAACCTCTTCTTTACTAACCAACAGCTGCTGGACGCCTGTGAATAAGGAAATACATGTATGTTTTAGGAAAATAAAGTTAAAGTTGATAGAATGAAAGTTAATCATGCATTTAGAAACTGATCCTCCATGCAAATAAGTCCAAATAACAAATATGTATTTATAGTCAAATGTGCATTTTTCTTCTCTACACAAGAAACTGACTGTGCTCACTAAGAACAGGCCATTTTAACAGTTTCTATGTCTTTACCAAGTGACAGACAGAAGGACACACCCCTATCACCATCAATGGGACTTCAGTTGAGAGTCAGCAGCTCCAGTTTCTTCAGGTTCCCCATCAGCAAGCGGACCTGGACTTGCCTCACCGACACCGTCTCAAAGACCCAGTTCAGACTGCAGGCCAATGTGGCTCAGATCTGAGTGTGAACAGCTGAAGTCACATGGAATCTGAAATCCAGTTCGGATTGAGCCACTTTCATATGGTGGTCCAAATCAGATACAGGTTAGATATTCTTAAATGCGACCTCAGTCTGGACAGTCAGATCAGAACTCGTGCTACTTTGATGTCACTCTAGACTGACCGTCGTCACAACTCTGTGGAAGTGCCAGCCACAATGAATGAAAAAAACCCCACAAGAAGCGATAATTCAAAAATGTTACTCCTTTCTTCCAGTGATAAGACAGCTCGGAAATGTACCCAAAACCAACAGAACCTTTAAAATGTTCCACCAAATGCTATAATTTAGCTTTTCACAGTGTTATTGTGCAGAAATTGAAAACACAGGTCAACATCCCGTTGTGGTGGAAACTGAACACATCACGAAGCTGCCATTCATGGAGAACCTCTACACCCAGCAGTGCAGGAAGAAACGTCAACAGGATCAAAGATGTGGCTGGCCAGGATTAAAGAAATTCCCCAAATTCAATTCTTCTTGATTTGAATGATCCAATATTGATTAATAAAATTCAGACATTGATCTTTTAATATATGCCTTTTCCTGTGGATGCGTGAAGCTTGAGTCTCAAGTGGCCACCCTTTGGTTGTTCGAACAACGAGATCTGGCCACAAAAACATGTCCAGGGTTTCTCCACTGAAGGCAAAGACAAGCATAAAGGCAGCTGTCCGGATTGCATTTTGGATATTAAAGCTACAAGACAGAGAAGAGCCAGATAAAAGAAAAGCAAGATGTGCAAAATGGAGGTGAAATATTTTGGAAATATGAACAAATTTCCAAAACCATTTAACTAGACATCAACCAGATACACAATCTGCAAAAAAGTCCCAAATCTAAGATCAGATCTTAGAATCAACCATGCCGGACTTGGAAGCAGCACACCTGCCTCAGGAGGAGGTGGGCTTACGACCTCAGGCCAGCAGCGACAGTCGGGAGTCTCCGAGGCCTTTGCGAGAGGAGCTAAGTACCAACGTAACAGCCATCAGCAGCGAGCACTTACTGACAGCGTAACTCGCTATTTGGTTGAAGAAATGGTGCCATTCCACACCGTTGAGAAAGCAGCGTTCAAAGCCGTGCTACAGGCTTTTGATAAGCAGTTCTTCCCGACCGAAAGTACTTTTCTCAAACAGCGATCCCTGACGTGTATCTGACCGTGAAGGACGGCAAATACGGGACTTGAAGGACGTTGATCATTTCTCTGTGACAACAGATATGTGGTCAAGTGTAACCATGATGCCATACATGAGCCTGGCCATACACTATCTCAGCGCAAATGGGAACTAAAATCCAAGAGGGGTCCCTGGACGAGAGGAAACTGG